CCTGGGCCTCCCCGCCGGCCGGGGCTGCCTGCCGTCACCTTGCGGTTCGCAGTCGCGTCTCTGGCAGTGCCGCGCCCGCCTGCCCTTCGGCCGCACGTGGCACCTTCTCGGCCGACTTCGGGGTCTGCGTTCCCTCTGCTTCCGGCTTCGCTCCACGAGCTCGTCCTCCCCATGCCCTGGGTCCGGCTCGCTGCCCTCCCCAGCGCCCTCGGGCCTCTGCCTTCTCGCTGGCCTTCCTCCGGCGGCTGCTGGCCCTGAGCCGGCGCGGGCTGGCTCTGGCTTCGCTGGGGCCTGCCTAGCTTGCTGCGACATCGTTCTTCATTTCTCAGCACCTCGTCGTGAAAGATTTACTTCTTTGCGTCGAAGAGCTGGGGTGCAGGCCAGCGGTGCGGGGGTGAGGATGCCCCCCCAGACACAGTGGGGAGCCGGACAGGCGGATCCACCGAGACCCACTGCTGAGGGGAGCAGAGGGCACAGGAGGGGTCTGCCACGCCCCGGGTCACTCGCGGCCCGGGGTGGACGCAGGCGGTGACCTCCTGAGACTCGACCCCACGGCCAGCGGCGAGGCCGCTCACGGGCCTGTGTCACCTCTCGCCCAGGCCGAGGGACGCCCTTGGCGAGTGTAGGGCGGGTCTGCCAGCAGCAGACTCCTTTGGCTTCTAGTTAGGGCTTCACTTCCTTTCGCGTGTTCGTGAGGGATCGCTTGCCAGATACGGCGCGCTTGGCTCCCGGGACCCGTCAGAGCGTCTGTCAGCCTGCGGCCCGGATTCAGTCTTGGAAGAATTTCTCACATCGGTCAAGTTACAGCTTCTCACTGCTTTTAAGGTTCTTTGTCGTGTGCTATAGTTACACGTAAAGACCTAACTGACGGAGCCTGGTGTGACTGACTGAGATTATCCCGTTGGGAAGTTTGTTGAGAACGTGTAGATTTGTGTCCTCCATTAAATGTGAGGCATTTTCAGTTGTTATTTCTTCAGATACTCCTTTTTTGTTTCTCTTCAGAAAAATTTTTTTTAACGTTTATCTATTTGTGCATACAGAACTGGGGTACAGGCCAGAGATGTGGGGGTGAGGACTCACCAGAGACAGGGTGGGGGGCAGAACAGGCAGGCTGACAGACCCACTGCTGAGGGGGCAGCGGGGAGACAGGAGGGGTCTGCCGGCCCTGGCGTCCCTCCCTGGCCGGGGGTCGGACTCCCAGTGCTGTGCTGTAACCCGCTGGGCCGCCGGGGAGGGCCCTCTCTTCAGAGACTCTTACAGGGAAATTTGCTGGCGTTCCAGAGGTTTATTCATTTTCACTCATCTTTCTGTGCCTCTGACCGGTCGGGGCCTTGCTGGCCGGTTCACGGATTTCTCTGTTGTTTGCACAAATCTCGCTGAACTAGAGTTTCACATGCAATCTTTCATTTCCAGAATTTGTTTGGTTCCTTTTTGTCTGTTCATTGACGTTTTTTAGTTATTCATCATATTTCTGGTTTCCTTAGTTCTTTGTCCAGTTTTTGCGAGCCTGGAGCTTACTACAGAGTGGAGTTCTCCTCTTTGATTAGTAATTCCAGTGCTGGGCTCTCTGGAGCAGCGTCTGTCAGGATGGATTTTCCTGTTCGTGTGCTTTGGGCTTTCGTTCAGGACTGGCTGTTCTCAGTGCCATGTGGCAGTTTTGGGATCTGGGGCCCCAGCACCACCCCCGGTCAGGGATCGGCCTCGTGAGTGCTCACAGCAGTTCTGTTGCCTCTGCAGTCGGCCTGAAAGAGTTCCTCAAGGTTGTGGACTTTAGAAAAGTAAAAAGTCGAGGGACCCTGCAGAGGAAACGCAGAGCCCGAGGCCAAACCCAGCGCGCATCTGCTGGCCCCTCAGAAACATCAGCGGCAGCGGAGCAGGCGCCACCCCAACGTCTGACCGCCTCGGTCGAGGCTGTGGGGACCAGGCTGCCCCACACGGCACGGTGGGGCACATGGAAGCTTCGGGCTCCTGTATGACCCTCGCCGAATGGCGCCGTAACCGATCCAAGCCCGAGTTGTGAAATGGTTGAGTTTAGCCTTTTTTTCTGCCACCTTTTCTTTTAAATGATTTATTTATGCACACAGCTGGGGTCCAGGCCAGAGGTGCAGGGTAGTGAGAGGATCCACCAGAGACAGTGGGGAGCAGAGCAGGCAGATGGACGAAGTCCACTGCTGAGGACCAGCGGGGGGACGGGAGGGGCCGGCTGCTCCCCGGCTCAGCTCTGGGGCGGGGGTCGGACTTGCACCCAAGTGGCTGCTTGCAGCGCTGCGCCCCGCCACGGTGAGGTGCTTTGGTAGCGAGGGGCCTGGCGCCTGCCCTGCCTGCGTGCCTCACTCCTGTGCACGCCCGGGCCTGGGGCTGCCCTGGGATGCAGTGTGGGCATCTCACAGCGCGCAGCAGGGCCGCGCCCAGAGGTGTGCTGGCGTTTAAGCTTGCAGACCGCCAAGGGGGCGCGCGTGACTCGCCCCCGGGAGCTTCCCGCTATGCGGAGCGGAGCCGCCGGCGGCTTGCACGCTCTGGTTCAGGAAAGGCCTTTCCTTGCTTTCGAAGCTTGTGCCTCACAGCGTGCGCACTGCGGTGGGCAGGCAGGGTCTCGCTGTGGCCTGGCGACGGCCTGCGAACGGCACAGCCCCTTCCGAGCTGCCCCACACCAAGGGCGCCCGCAGTCCACCTGCCGCCAGCCGGCCGCGGCCTTTTTTCCGAAGAAAAAAACATCCAGTCTCAGGACGGTCACTGGCGGCGTCGCTCGGTGGTCTCCAGGCGCGTGTAAAGCCCCTTAAACACCAAACTGCTGCCCCCGCAAGTGGACCCCGTTCACTTCCACCTTCACAAGCAGGGAGGCAGCCGCGAGGCCGGAGGCGCGGCTCCCAGACCAGCCGGCCGGCGGCCAGCGC